GTAACTGTTTGTACCAGCCTTTGAGGCAAAATATGGGGTGCCACTTATACATGAATGCGTGTTTATACACGAGTAAATCGGTAGCTAATGGTGTCATATTATTAACTAGAGAAGCCCATGTGTTCTTTGCATAACCAGGAGGACAAACTAAAGCAGTGAAGCATGAATATCGAGAAGATATCGAGAATCCGGAGCGAGTTCAAATGTTTTACTATCACCCTGCATGCCCACATGGTGCGCCCCCTCCGTCCAAATCATTGCCGCCCCCTGGGATTGGGGGGGGGGGAGGGGGGGGGAAGAGGACAAAGACCAGAAATATCTTTGTCCCAGTGTTGCTAACCCCAAATTGCCTAACAACCCTCCTTTTAGAAAACGCTTCGCCTTACTTGGTACCCTTCCAACTTGCAGCTGTGCCTAAAATTCTCATTAGACCATAGGCAAACACTACATGGCCTTGCCATTGATTTTTTAGAATTCTACAGTGATATAACAACCTCTCAGTGCAACTTTGCGATGCGCATCACCCATCATCAAGGTGGGCGTCAGACTCGGCTATCATCATCTCTGCCTCCTCGCTCCGAACCTTCCCAGCATGAGGATCATAGTTTACCTACGAATAAAAACCATTCTAGGTCTTAGAACACGCCGATACGTGATACATGTTGCGAAAACAATACATGTTGCCAACATCTCAAACCACTTTGGTTTCCTAGACATTTAATGTAAGACAACGCATTATGAAAACATAATTCCCGTCTACCATTCACAGTCACAACACTGCTGCGAGATGCTGTGAAGCTGGATTTCTCATTATTAAAACGGATAGACCTCGCAACAAAAGGCCCATATAGACCTACTGTGAGCATACTTGCAGTGTGCAAACATCACGAAATGTTCTCATGAACCAGAAATGTGCTTCAAAGTTATACTATTTGAAAACTTACATCAGACACAAGTTATTTGTACCATTAAGTGCACAATAACGCCAAAATAGTATCCATTACGCCATAGCGCAAATAGTTCCTGGAACGAAAACACTATAATTATTTGTTTCCTGGTTGCATGTAGTAAAGTAATATAGATAAGTAATATAGATATATATGATTTAAACAAATTTCACAATTTTGTACTGAATAAACATCCGAATAATGAATGTATAACTTGTTTATTATTTATTATAGAAGGAACTGTCACTGGAATCAAGCAGATCGCTCCGCCGGGTGGCCCGGATGTGTAAACATCACTGTGGTGCGCGACGTTCGTAAGAGATAAGTATTCGGTTTAGATATTAGAGAAGAAATGTTATGAAAGTAGCAATACACAAATGAGTTGTAGTGAATTTTTGCAACATATGCAAGGTCACAGTAGGTATAATATATGATTTAGCTGCGAGGTGGATCAACTTTTAGGTGTGTAAATGTGTGTATACCTTCTTCGCTGACTGCCGAACTGGTCTTCCTTTCTCGCTTCAGCTCCACTGCTCTCTTCGGCTCTTGGCGTTTCTATTCGCATACACGCACAATCGATTTACTATTTTTCCCATTCACATACAGTCATAAACAGTATTATATATAAGCATCACTAAAGATAAAAGTGTCCATAGACACATTTCAATCAAAAACACAATTTCACTGCACACTTGCCACAAAATGCAAAAGTGTACTTTAGAGACTTTCCCATCTTTGCATGTAGAGTGTGGTAACATTGTAAAACCGCATGAAAATAAAGGTCGAGTCATCTTTATAAATATGCACGCACACGTTCTCAGTAGTGTGCTGGAATCGGAATGAGATGAACCATGTGTAGATCACCATGGTTTACATCAAAGCGCACGCAGACTTCCCGAGACACATGCTATGGCTATAACTATAGACTTATAGGGTTGAAAAGAGAATACTTTTTTTTTTTTGAAATTGCATTCTGATTTTTGGCCCTACCCCCAAAATCGTGTTGCACACCAGGGGTGTTATGGGGTTAACGCCGTGACTTGCGTGCATGACCGCCGCCCTGCCGCCCGACCCTCTCCCCCGTACTCAATCACTGGGTGTGCGCACAACATCTCCCTTACTGGACCGAGTTCTCCCCTGGACCGAGTTCCCCCCGCGCGAATGATTCTCCCTGAACTGAGTTCTCTCTGGACTGAGCTTCTCCCTGGCTGAATTCTCCATGACTGAATTCTCCCGGCCGGTACGAGTTCCCCCCTGGACTGAGTTCTCCCCGGACTGAGTTCTCCCCGGACTGAGTTCTCCCTGGACTGAGTTCTCCCCGGACTGAGTCCCGCCTGGACTGAGTTCTCCATCAACTGAGTCCCCGCCTGGACTGAGTCCCGCCTGGACTGAGTTCTCCATCAACTGAGTCCCCCCCTGGACTGAGTTCGTCCATCGACCTGAGTCCCCCCCTGGACTGAGTTCCCCCCCTGGACTGAGTCCCGCCTGGACTGAGTCCCGCCATGGAGCTGAGTCTGGCTTACCGTTACTTGTGCAGCGTCGAGCATCTGAGTGATGGTGTGATTCAGCGTAGCGGCATAGAACGTCTTGCCTGGCGTGGCCGTCAGCGGCGGCAAACACTTGAAGCTCCTTCTTCGGCGGGATCACAACTCGACGTCACTGCTTCTAGTTACGCAGCAGGCAACGGCGTCAAGGACTACCGGCAGAGAGAATTACTGTATAAGCTGTGTACATTTTTCGCCGTGCATAACCTCAGTCCTGTTTACAGTCTGCGCAGCAAGAACGGAGTCAGGATCACCGGCAGAAGAGAATACTGTACACGCTGTACATTATTGTTCGCTGCATAACCTTCAGTCCTGCTTCAGTCTACGCAGCAGGAACGGCGTCAGGATCTACCGGCAGAAGAGAATACTGTATACGCTGTACATTTGTTCGCTGCATAACCTTCAGTCCTGCTTCAGTCTACGCAGCAGGAACGGAGCAGGATCTACCGCAGAAGAGAATACTTGTATACGCTGTACATTTCGTTCACTGCATAACCTCAGTCCTGCTTCAGTCTGGCGCAGCGTGACGGAGTCAGGATCTACCGGCAGAGAGAATACTGTACACGCTGTACATTTGTTCGCTGCATAAACCTTCAAGTCGTAGCTTCAGTCTACGCAGCAGGAACGGAGTCAGGATCTACCGGCAGAAGAGAATACTGTATACGCTGTACATTTGTTCGCTGTATAACCTTCAGTCCTGCTTCAGTCTGCGCAGCAGGAACGGAGTCAGGATCTACCGGCAGAAGAGAATACTGTATACGCTGTACATTTGTTCGCTGCATAACCTTCAGTCCTGCTTCAGTCTACGCAGCAGGAACGGAGTCAGGATCTACCGGCAGAAGAGAATGGCAAGACAGGACGCGGCGAAGCACGCCTAAAGGCCCCCGCACGCGGTGCGCATTCGGCGCGCACCAACGGCGCCGAGCTAAATGCACGCGCCATTTGCGCGCACGTAAACCACACGCACACGGTGCGCATTCGGCAGCGCCGAGCTAGAGAAATCAAACATGCTAGATATTTTGCGATGTCGGGAACCCGGCTAGTCACACCGCAGCAGACTCACCTGATGTAGTTTTGCTAAGACGTTCTTCTCACGTTCCTGAGCAATGATCTTTTCGTTGGCTCCCGACCCCGACAGCGAAGAGAAGTCGAACCAAGATTCAAAGCTGTCACCAAAAGACATGACGTTTAATTGGCGACAATCAATGCGGCAAAGTGCGCGACCAAACTACAACATTTTAGCATGCAGCTTATGACAGGACAGCAACTACCCTAAAATCTAACCTAATCTATCTAACAGGATTAGTGACATCTAAAATCTACTAGCCCTTCATTCTCTGGACTGTGATTGAGAAACAACAGTTGCTCTTAGACTACGACACGCACAATGAGCGGCAGGGGGTGCTGCACCTACATGTTCAGGTCGTCAAAGATCTCGGGTAGCAGGAAGTTGAGCAGTGACCAGAGCTCCGATAGATTATTCTGCAGCGGTGTTCCGGTGAGCAGGAGCCGATTGACACTCTCCAGCTGCTTCAGCTCCCTGCGCAACGCAGAGACAGCAACGGTTAGTTAGTTAAATCCTTCCCTGCGCCTATATAGCGCATAGGGCGGTGCCTATCTCCGTTTCCGTAACCCTGAGGCCCCGCAGCTGCTTTCACAGTAAATGCTACAGTAGGGGGTTAGTCCACTGTAGCACTGCGAGTTAACTTGCCACACTCTATCTCTATTTGCTGAATGCTAAGCAGAGAAGCCGTGTGTACCATTTTTCAAGTCTTTGGTATGACCCGGCCGAGAGTTGAACCCCCGACCTTCTGCATGTGAGGCGAGCACTCTACCATTGAGCCATCGCTGTGGTTTTACAGTGACGGTGCAGGGTGCGAAATTAACGCGTCCGGAAAGTGTCCGGAGTCAAATACTCCCTGATTTACTGTCGGACTCCCCGATTTGACATATGAAAATTCTCCCTGAAAATTCTGCCTGAAAATACTAACTATAGTTTGTTCCGAAGCACGGCCTCGCGGAATTACTGTATTTTATTCAGATAATGTCCAAAGAAAATTTGGCAGACGTGCAACTGCATGAATCTTAAAAATTAGCACATGCGTTATTGTTAATATCTTTAATTTTGAACCTCAGACTGCGAACTCCCTCATTTTGCTGCGTACTCCCTCTTTTTAAGGGTAGGAAGTCCGTTGGACTCCCTTGTTCAAAAGTTAATTTCTACCCCTGATACTGTGTGCTATATTGCGTGTGGTTTAATCATCAATAAGGACAAGTGCTAATGATCCAGGAAGCTCAGAGACCAAGCCGTGAAGCTGAGATAATAACGAGGAAACAACTCGTTAGTACCTGATGAGACGACAGTTGAGGTTCTTGATGCGATGTCCTTCGTCGATGACGAGGTAACGCCACATGAACGTCTGCAGGTGCCGGCGGTCGTTCATCACAATCTCGT